TGTGAGTAAAAGTTGAGAGGGGCTGGAAATCACTGGTAACCCTGTGGTCTACAATTTTCTGGGGAAACACTACCACCACCAGGTCACGGTGACCTTATTTATATATGTGTGCCCAAGAGGATGTACTGATTTGTGAAGCTTTTCTTGTAAGGCACCTCTGGGTGGGCTCCAACCTCCAACTGTCAGGCCAGCAGTCAAATCAGATCAGTTTGCAGCAGCAGCAACAACAAAAGGCCTGGAGCTGATTCTGACCCACAGCAACCCAAGGAGTCGGAGCAGAACCACTCAGAGGGTTCCCAAGACTGTCATTTCTAAGGAAGTTCACACTGTTCACAGCGTGCCGACGTGGAGTGGCTGGTGGGTTTGAACCACTCACTGGCCTTTTGGTTCACAGCCGAGTGCTTCACCACTGAGCCACAAAGGCTCCTTTTACTGCACCACCCAGAAATGCTGAAGACTCACAAAATAATAATTCACATATCTCATGGTGAATCTGTGATCTGATGGTGTAGTGGCTTATGAGTCAGGCGGTGGTTCAACTCCTCCCGCTGCTCCTTGGGAGAGAGACGAGGCTCCCTCTAGAAAGACGAGCAGTTCTACTCTGTCCTGGAGGGTCGCCGGGCTGGCACTGGGTTTGGTTTGGTTAGGCCCACCCTTGACTTCACTGAGTGCTCCGTGAGATCTCTGAGGAGTCTCCCCATGTGATGGTTGGAGAATGAGGTCCTGGGTTTAAGTGCTCTCCCCAAAGGTGGAAGAGCTAGGATTAGCACTCAAGGGCCGCCATTCTACCAGGTTCTGACCAATCACCTGATTATCTCCATTTCTGAAAAGTAGGGGCCAATTTCCATAAATGCTGGGGAACTGCCAAGAACTGGCAATGAGGACAGCTGGCCAGCCAGGCTCCAGGGTGTCTGCAGAAACCCTGTCCTGTGGCCTGTCAGGAGACTGAGGCGGGCAATGGGCAGGCCTTCCCCCACACTCCCCACCTGCTGCTTCAATGTGTTCCACTCACCTCTGGAAGCCTTGGGGTTGGAGGTAGACTGGGTTGAATCGGTAGATGCCATTGGAGAGGTTTGTGTAGTGTCTACTGTCTGTGTTGCCTATGCAGGTACCTAGCCAGGGAAGATGAAGAGGAATGGAGCTTGATGGGTACAAGCAAGCCAAGGAAGTCGCTGGAAATCGAGGGTGCCTGGGCTTTCCCGAGAGACACTGCCTGGTCTTTTGGAGGACTGCAGCTCAGAAGTGTTGTCCCCCGGGCTATCATTCTGCAAACACACGGAGCCCACGCTCGCTCCGACTGGCTCAAAGCGAAGCTCCTTCTCGCAGAGGCAGACCACCCCATCTTTCTCCTGTGGAGCAGCTGGTGGGTTCTGACCGAGAATTTCTTGGTCAACAGCTACGTGCTTACCCACTGTGCTACCAGGGCTCCCCAGCACCAGATCTCACTTCTTTTTCGCTGGGTCCTCAAAGACCTCCTAGGGGAACGCTGTTGCTGTGAGCCCTGGCGTGGATTCTGACTCGGAGACTCGATGGACCAGCCACAGAAGGGAGAACGGCCCCTAGGTTTCCTGGGCTGCCATCTTTAGGAGACCAGATTGCCAGGGCTCTTCCCCCAAGAAAGCAACCAGTGGGGCTTAAACAGCTGGCCTTCGGTCGGCAGCCACGGGCTTCACCATTGCCCCGCCAGGGCTCCTTAGGCGGGACTTGGCCATTGTAAAATGCAATCCTCTTGAAATAGAACATAACTTCCTGTTATTCTCTTCCTTGGAAGGATGGCCTCGTCCAAACCTCAGGTCTGGAAAGTCCCTGGATACTCTCTCCAGGTTTCTGCTCTCGAAACAGGTTGGGGCTTGGTCCCGAGAGCAGGGTTCTTTGGGGAAAGGGATCTGGGTGCATCAACTCAAGCGTGAAGGATGCTTTGCGGTGGGGATTTGTGGTTTGTTCTATTCTTTCTCCTGCTTCCAAGTGGGCAGGCCCTCACGACTCTGTGCCTGGGGTTGGGGGCAGATTTTTACCAGTCCCTTTCTGCCTAGTTTCTTTTCTGTAAAAGTTTAACCCTGTTCGTAGGATTAACCCTCTCTTGGAAGGGAGTGGGGTAGTGGGGTAAGGGTCCCTTGAGGGCCAAGAGAAGAATCTAGTCCCTTGAGGGCCAAGAGAGGGCCAGGGTGTATGAGTCTGAAGGGGAATTTACAGACTGGCATTGGACAGATGGGCTAATATTGAACTTATGGACTTCATCTGGACTGGGTTGGGATGTTTCTTAATATAGAATTACTCTTGAATATAATTACACACATATGAGTGTCCATGAATTTGTTTCCCTAGTCTACCGGGACTAACACACTGCCCCTGTGAGTTTCTGAGGCTGTAAATATTTATGGGAGTGGAAAGTCCCGCCTTTCTCTCAGGGAGTGGCTGGTTTCTAACTGCTGACCTTTTGGGTAGCAGCCCACTGTGTAACCACCACGCCACCCGGGGTCCTGGGGACATTGGGGGTGGGGGGATGGGGGGGTGGGAGGTGTTACAGAGTCAGGAGCCATGCCCTGTCAGTTTGGTCCTCACTGTCTTGGTCAGAGGGCCCTGCATCAATCTTATAAGCCCATCATGGTCCCACTCCTGTTTCCACAGTCCCACCTGTCACTGTGATGTCCTGATGCTTCTGCCCACCAGGGCCCTTTTTAAGGCTTGGTGTCCCAACGAACCCTTGGCTGCTACTTCAGCCTCGTGCGGGTGGCACCCCTCGTGCGGGTGGCACCCCTCATCTGGATGATGTCTTGTCTTTGTCGCTTTTAAGACGAAATGAATCTTCTCTTTAAATTGTGTTCAGGATGGGGTCTCTTTTGTAGCCCCAAACACACCCTACGATGGGCCAGCACCAGAGTCTGGGAGAGACTTGCTCAGCCCTGGGGCTCCGACAGGGAGGTGAAGTGAGGTGGGGCTGGGGGCTTACACCCATCCTCCCCTCCAAGCCTGAGCGGCTGCTCTAGGTTAAATGAGGACCCAGGCGTAACGCACTTAATTTATTGTTTCTGCTCCTTTCCTGTTTGCTTTCTCACTCCCATTCTGAGCGGAAAATACAGTTCCAGTCCCGTTAGGAGGGGAAGCAACCAGCTGTTTCCAGGCTAAACAGCTGGCATGGGGGTGGGGCAGCGGACATGAGATAGGAAACAATTCCACCCCTCAACTCCCCGCCTTCTCCCTTCCGCCACAGCGGATGAGGTCATACCTGGGACGACGATGCTTACTTCCGGGAAGACAGACTGTATGGTCTGGCGGAGCAGCTGGAAGCCCAAGGCCTGGTCATCAGAGGGGCTGACGGGCAGGGGGTCAAAGGCACTCAGTACATGGAACTGGACCCGGTCATCAGCCACAATGTTCTTGACGAGTTCTAGGACCTCCGGGGCGGAAGCAGAAGGAGTTAGACGTCTTATTGATCTGCCATCTGACTTTAATAGTCGTGCCTTCTCTTCAGCCAGGCAAAGGCCTGGAGGGCACAGAAGAAACCCGTCCTAGTGTGGGGACTGGAGCCCCAAGGGCTGGGCCTTCTGGAAAAGTAAACTACGGCGAGATAGATTGAGGCTCGGTGTTTGGAAGGCTGGAGTGGGGGGCAATGGAAAAAGCGGGGGGTTAGGTGTTCTTGGCCTTGGGGTCAGAAGACTGCGTATAGAAGGAAGGCGTGAACGTGGCGCAGAAGAGACAGTAGACTGGATCCCAGGCAGGAGGATGGACACAAGGACCTTGTTTGAAACTGAGGGAGTCTCAACTGGGTGAGGAAAGGGGCCCAGGCCTTCCTTTCCCTTCGCTGGGCATCGCTGCTTCCTCTTTGGGACAACGGCCCTGGGGCCAGGAAGATGAACTCATCAAGGACAAAGAGTCGAGAGGGGAGTCTCACATTCCACCTTTCCTCAGGAAGGAGCCCCACGACAGCCCTAGAGAATTCAGTCTAAAATGGCGAGAGCCGAACCCAGCCCCTGAGGATTGTGTCACAATGGAGCCAAGTAGGGTGCCCTCCCAAACCTTCCCACCCAGCGCCAGCACGCCCCCACCCCGTTTGGTGGGGGGAGCTGTTTTGTACGCGGGCTCCGTCCAGGAAGCAGGAATTACCTGAGTCAGGGCATCACCTCAACAGTGACTCTGGCAGGTCAGGGTCCCCTCAATACAAACCAGGAGCTGAGTCTGGGAAGGAGACTTGGCTTCTACTCTAGGCTTGACCAATGGCCATGGAGTTGGCTCTGATGCCGGGTGTGTCTGAGTGGACCTGTGCTCTTCACAGCTGAACTGTGGGCGGTCAGTGACTGATTTTGTGGAAGTAGATCACCAGGCTTTTCTTCTGAGGCACCTTGGGGTGGACTTGAACCTCCAATTTTCTGGTTGGCAGCTGAGCGCATTGACACTATACTATGCCGAGACACCTACTTTGGGCTGCCAATGGGTGGTGGAGTCCTGCCAATTTATATAGTCAGGAGCCTCCTGTGGGAGACTGGATTCCTGGCAGGACTCGGGAGAGCAGTACATGTTCGAAGCAGGTGGGCATGGGCCAGCCTCTGTCTTTGAGGGGCCACAGCGGTTAGTTTCCTACTCGGGTCAAAACACCACGGGCAACCTGTCTGGTTCCTAGGCCATGCATGTCCGACCCTTATTTCGGATGGCAATGACAGCCATTTTGAATCGATGTGAAGCCCTGATGACAACTTATATATCAGCCCCCCCCCCCCCAAGCATGCCTTACCCAAATATTCAACTGCAAATTTTAATGTGAAGCCTTGGCATATTCTGGACCCACAGGGAGGTTCTCGAGGTCAGCTCTCCTGTGGGCTGAGGCTGGGCTCAGTAGCTCCTGCCCTAATCTCCTTGGAGAGTCCTAGGGGGCCCCGGGAAGTCAAAGAGAGCACGTAGGTTGGCCTTCTTCTGGTCCTCTCGCGTGGTGAGACCACAGCAGCCCAGATTCCCCTCCAGCTGCTAGGCCAGGCCCTGCCTCAAGGGCAGGGGTCAGTTGACTTCCCGTCTGCATGTCCAGTGCCAGGCACAGGAAAAGCATGCAATAAAGGCTGGCTAGGTGGAATTTAAAAGATGTCGACCAATAAAAACAATGCTGGGAGTTGCCTCCTGAAGTCACTTGCCCGCTGTGAGTATCACTGGGCTGGGGCTCACAAGGCCCCTCCGCTCCTCCAAGGACGAGATGCTCCCGCTCCCCAAGTACACACAGGCTAAGCTGCTGCCGGGTAGAGGCGGAAAGAGGGCGGGGTCATGTAAGAGAGTCCTACTGGCATGACCTTTAAGCCAGAGTTAGAAGGGAGCTGATGGAGAAGACAATCCTGACCATGGAAAGCAGCACGTGCAAACACTGACGAGGGACACCAAACTGCCTCGCATCTGCCACTGACAGCTGTGTGACCTTGGGCAAGTTCTAGCCTCTCTGTGCTTCAGCTTGCTAATCTGTTCAAATGTGGATCAGAATAGCACCTACTTTAAGAGGTTGTTGATACCATTCCTTGAGTTAATAACACATTTAACATGCTTAGGCCAGTGCCTGGCACACTGAATAAGCACTCAGCAAGCATGAGGTGCAGAGCCCTGGTGGTGTCCTGTGTTACAAGTTAGGCTCTAACCTCAAGACCAGCAGTTCAAAGCCATTAGCCCTTCCAAGGGCGAAAGATGAGGCTTTCTATTTCCATAGGAGTTACAGACTCAGAAACCCACCAGGGCAGTTCTACTCTGTCCTACAGGGTCGCTATGAGTCAGCATTGACTCGATAGCAGTGAAAAAAATAAAATTAGGTGATTGGATGATTATCAGAGACGACAGGCTGGGATTATCAGTGGGAAGGGCATCAAAGTTTAATCTCTGATCTCCCATAGTCCTTGGAGCACAGTCCCACAAGTTGGCATTTGATTAATTACATAGACCATTCTGTTGCTCTCTCATCATTTCATGTGCAGAGAAACGTTCTTCCCAAGCGGACCGAAAATTTGTTGAAGGCAAGGACAATAGAGACTTTGAAACTGGCGAGGTTGTGGACTTCACACTAGCACGGCCGCTTTCACCCGGCTGGGGGACTCACTGACTAAAACCTCTTGGCCAGCTGCTATCCAATCTCAGCTCAAACATTTCCACGGGCAGGAGGTTCTCTATCACAGGTCATAGACACCAGGTCATTTAGAGCGACCCAGCAGGTCTTCCTTACGGAGAGCTGAGGTTTGCTTCCAGTGAAACCTACCCCCGATGTGCTCTATAGGATACGAACATCGAACATCGCACTAGACTCTCATCGCATTGGGCAGCATCTGGCTCCCGTGGGGATTAGAGCCCAGTGCACACGTGTCTTCTGCATAAGGATGGGCGCTCCCTGCCTGGCTCACCCTTATGCCAGGGAGCACGAGCTCACTGCTGTTGCTAGCTGCTGTGGAGCTGGCCCCAGCGCGTGGTGACCTTACGCAGAGCCGAAGAGAACCTCGGCTGGTCCTTACCCTTCCTCACAACTGTTGGCGGGTTGGCACTCATACACACTTGGTGAGGGAAGGAAAGAAGCAGGGGGTGGGGGAATGAAATCTTCTCGGTACCATATTGGCTGGTGGACAGTCAGCCTCTGATGGGACTCTTTTCGTGATGAGGTCACATGTTCCAAAGTTCTCCCCTCAGCCTTCTCGCTACTCCTTGAAGCCCTTCAACACGGACTTTCCACCCATACCCCCAGCCACAGTGCCCATGCGCATCCTATGCCAGTGCCCATAGGTCGTGCTCCAGCTCGTGTGAGGTTACACACCAAGTCTCCGTACATCTTACAAGACGGACACTGTACAAAGCGTTCTCCCTGACCACAGTGGAGTGACGTTGGAAATCAGTAACAGAAAAGCAAAGCACAACTGGGAAACACACACGTCTCTGGAACCTAACAACACTATGACACTACCAAGAGAAGCAGGAAGACAGCAGAAGGAAATCAGATTTCCCAGCGTTCAATCAAAAGGAAATCAGATTTCCCAGCGTTCAATCAAAAGGAAATCAGATTTCCCAGCGTTCAATTAAAAGGAAATCAGATTTCCCAGCGTTCAATCAAAAGGAAATCAGATTTCCCAGCGTTCAATCAAAAGGAAATCACAGATTTCCCAGCGTTCAATCAAAAGAGAAATCAGATTTCCCAGCGTTCAATCAAAAGGAAATCACAGATTTCCCAGCGTTCAATCAAAAGGAAATCATGGATTTCCCAGCGTTCAATCAAAAGAGAAATCACGGATTTCCCAGCATTCAATCAAAAGGAAAGCACCGCCTCCCAAAGTGCATGGAATGCAGCAAAAGCAGGGTACTCCGAGGGAACGCTATGGCCATTCATGCTGACATGTAAGAGAAGAAAGGTCTCTGGTCAACAGCCTCCCTCGACAACTCTAGGGACTAGACAGAGAAGAGTCAACAACCCCAAGTCTACCAGGAGGAAGTAATAAAGATCAGAGTATTAAAACAAACTCCAAAAAACCCAACAAAAACCCCAACTCACTGCTATGGAGGCAATTCTACCCTAACGGACAGGGTAGAACTGCTCTGTGGGTTTCCGAGATGCAACTAGTAGGGTGGAAAGTCCCATGTTTCTCCTTGCTGGTGTTTTAAACTACCGTCTTTGTGGTTAGTAGCCCAGTGCAGAACCACTTTGCCACCAGGGCTCCCTGTAAAGCAGCGGTTCTCAACCCGTGGGTCACGACCCCTTTGGGGGGGTCACCCGATTCATAAGAGCAGCACAATTAGTGATGAATACCAATGAAAATAATTTTATGGTTGTGGGGGGGTCACCACAATATGAGGAACTGTATGAAAGGGTCGCGGCATTCGGAAGGTTGAGAACCACTGCTGTAAAGATTATTAACACACAAAATTGAAAACAGAAAAACAATAGAATCTTTTTTTTGAAAAGATCAGTGAGATGGACAAAACTTCAGGCGAGAAAATATGCAAACCACCAAAGTGAAACCGGAAAGAGGGGACACCACAACTGATCCGATGGAAATAAAGAGAATGATAATAGAACCAACCGGCTCCTTTCTGCACACTCTCCTCACAGGTGGGGGTGGAGACCTATCTATGTCTCAGTTAGGGAGAGACCAGTTCAAGGTGGAAGAGGAGGATCCTGGGAGCTGCCAGTGTGTGTTAGGCCCAGCTTGAGGCCCTGTGTACTCGGGTGTCCGAGCAGCAGGAAGTGCTGTGGGCCTGGGACACAAGGGAGAATGGTGGCCTGTGAACTTTCTGAAAGATGGAGGCTCTCTGTGCCTTACTGGGGGCGGGCAGGCCTAGGGATCCCAAGGATCTCGTCAGACAGACCAGAAAGGCAGGCTGCCGTAGCAGGACGGTGGAGGGGAGGGCAGGGCGCCAGAGCCTGGGAGATGAAAGCCCAACTGGGTGGAAAACAGCCCCGGAAAGGGAATGGAGTTGGAATGAGGCTGGAAAAAAACTGGTGGAAAGAAGCTCAATGAGGGGAATTGAGTGATTTGATGGCCTTCTAACCCCCCAGGGAGAGGTCAAAGGTCGGCACCTGATGAAAAGCAGCAAAGCCCAGGCTCTCACCTGCCCCAGCTCCCCAGAATGCCGGGCACCTCGGGGCAGGCCATCAACGTGCCCCCTGCTGAGGGCCGTGCTCCCTCCCTGCATGAGGACAGCCGGAGCCATGTGTGTAAAAGGACTTGGCGAGGGGGGACGTCGCAGAGCTAAGGGCGGCCGACTTTCAGAGACCCCGGAGACGGCACTTGCCTGGACCCTGCTTACCCACAGTGGGGGGTGAATTATTCGTCTGGCAGTTGTGGGGTTGCCTGATTTTGACTACCTTCTAAACCAGCGGTTCTCAACCTGGGGGTTGCCTGATTCATCATAGTAGCAAAATGACAGGTATGAAGTAGCAACGAAAATAGTTTTATGGTTGGGGTCACCACAACTGTATGAAAGGGTCGTGGCATTAGGAAAGTTGAGAGCCACTGGACTAGAGGGTAAGGTTTACCCTCTGAACTCTTCTTAGCTCAACCTGATGCTTACAGAAGTCATCATCGCTCACACCCACCGAGCAAGCTGTGTGACTTCAACTCGCCCTCAGGAATCAGCTCCAGCATCACTTCCTCGGCAGCTTGGCCTGATCGGCAGACCAGATCGGCCCTGGTTCTTGCCTCAGAATAACAACACTCCCTTGGAGTCATAGTACTGGCACACTTGGCCCTCATGACGCCATGTTTGTCATTTGGAAATCGATGTACATAGGAGATCCGTGCAAGGCTCTCTCCTGAATCCTCCTCACTTTGCATACCCTTCCGGTGGGATTGCAGTGATGCTAGAATTCCAATTAAGGAGCCCTGGTAGTGCAATGGCTAAGTGCTCAGCTGACAGCTTCAAAGTCGGTGGTTCAAACCCACCAGCCAATTGAAGGGAGAAAGATACAGCAGGTTGCTTCTGTAGAGATGTCAGGCTTGGGATCCCTATGGGGCAGTCCTCGTTCACTGCTATCCAGTCGATTCCAACTCACAGCGACCCAATAGGACTGCCCCGTGGATTTCCAAGACTGTAAAACTTTACGAGAATAGAAAGCCTCATCTTTCTCCTTCAGAGTGGCTGGTGGGTTCAAACTACTAACCTTGGGGTTAGCAGCCCAACACCCTGTGAGTCAGGATCAGCTTGTTATGAATAGCGGTCCAATGATGCTGATGACTCCCCAGCTTGTATCTCTAATTCATTTCTGTGCATAGACCTTTGGTATTTGGTGGCATAGTGGTGATACCACTAGGTCATTAATTCAAAACCACCAGTCAATTGGAGGAAGAAAGATGAGGCTTTCTACTCCCGTAATGAGTTACAGTCTTAAACATATGGAGCATCCTTGTTTCTCACTCCACATCCATTTACCCACCTGTGGGGTAAACCTGCTGAATCCATCTCACTCACCTTTGGTCGGTGCTGTCTTCTCCACCCCAGACCAGGATCTCACTTCCGACCTTCATAATCATGCCTGGGGTGCCGCGGCAGCTTTGTCATTAGCATGATCTCCAGGACACCGTGGACAACTCTGCCGTGTCCTCAGATTAGACCCCACCTCCTTGGCACAACAGACAGCTTTGTTCTCCCACCTACAATTCCATCTCCAGCTCCCACCGCTTCTCCCCAATTCCGTCTACTGTCTACCGAATCCGGGTAATTAGCTGTTATAATCACAGGCAGTGTTGTGGCTAAAATGACAGGCTCTGGAATCAGATTGCTAGATGTGTCACGCTGGGCATGTGACCCAGCTGCTCAGGCCCCTCACTTGTCACGGGAGGGAAATATACTTGCTGTAGGGTGGCAGTGAGAACTACACGTAGCAAGCTCCTTATATGTTTGCTGTTATTGCTTATCATTAATTAGTAATCATCTCTCCCCCAGACTCCAAGGGCCCCCTACCCTGAGTTCCCCTAACCTAACTAAAGATGGGGTGCATAGGAAGCCTCTGGAAAATGTTGATTGAACACGTGAGAAACTGGGCCAGCGCTGGAATTGCACATAAGCCTCGGTCCTGAGGGTCACCCCTCCCTGATGCTGGACCGGTGGTCTGAAGCACACAGTACGTACCTCCTGGACGGTCTGGGCCGGGTGAATGCGGAAGTTGATCGTGGCCTGGGCCACGGAGGGGATGACGTTCTCCTGGGGAGAGAGCCACAACCTTGATCCGGGCCCACCCCAAGGCTCCCATCACAGACCCCTGCCCAGGAGCGGCAGCCCACCCCAGCAGGGGTTAAGCTGCTGCTGTGTTGATTGTTAAAAACGTTCATTGCCAGTGGGGTGAAGGCTGACAGAGCCAATCGGTTTTCCATTCAACAATCCACACACTTCTTCTTCCCGTGTCAGGACTGCAATCCCCGCCCTGCGTCATGCCTTCCTCCCTGGGCTGCCCGTTCCCATCCCTTCATTTCCCCGACCCTCTCTGCCACGCCGTCCTTGGGTAAATGTTGCCCCCTTTCTCTCAAATGGTTGATTATTCTAAGGAGTGCATGCCTCCCTCGTATTGTTACTCACCGTACAGACCTATCGGTCTAGGATTTGATTGGTCATTGAGCCATGGGGGCTGTGATAGGTGGGTGCACCCTGCCTAACACAGGGGGAGTCCAATTCCAGGCCTGAAGGGGGATCGTTCCATCAGTCCCTACCCAGCCAGGAAGCCTAGTCTGTCTCTCTTTGATGATTCTGTTTTGTTCCAAATGCTTCCCCTGGTTTGTTTAGGGCCTTCTGACATGATCCCTTTCAGTGTGGTTGGCAGTCATAGCTGGCACCATCTAATTATTCTGCTCTTAGGATCATGGAAGCTGGTCCACAGAAAAAAGACCTGGGAGTCTAATTGTAAGGAGGTATAGCCTGGAAAGTCTTACAGGGCTGTTATAAAGTGGATGCAATATAGCTTTCATAAATAGTAGGTGAGTTTTTCTCTTTCAAAGGAACTAACCCCAGTTATGTCGGTAGCTGGGAGGGAAAGACATATGAATCACTCATTAAACTTGTCAGGTGGACAAATCTTTCGAAACACTGGGAGGAATGAGCACAAAGGTCCTTTGGGGTAGAAAGATTAGTCTATATGACCAGAAGGCTAGGTAAATGTGCGATGGCTTGAATTACAGCCTCGGTCACAAAAATGAATCCCCCAATAACCTTTATTCATACTAGGGTGATAGTCTGTGTGTGTGCGCGCGTGTGTGTGTGTGTGTGTGTGTGTGTGTGTGTGTGTGTGTGTAGGGGAGGCCCCTGGATACCTCCCACTGAAATACACACACACAAAGTTTGACCAGCAAATTCAGAGGGCTCATTAACCTCGGCTGGAACTTTCACTCTTGAGTCTTATGACACAGGCTTGTGCAACATTGGCCCTTCCTGTTAATAAAATCTATAACCAGAGAAGAAGGGAGGAGGCAGAAGATAAAGCCCAGGGATAGAAGGATGGATAAGGAGTGAGGAGAAAGTGTATGAAAACAACCAGGCAAGGTTACCTTGACCCCTGCGTTGAACATGGTGAGCGCCGTGGTGGTCCTAACCTGTGCACTGGCTATGTAATTTCTCTCCAGAAACCTAAAGCAAAACGATGAAGATGAGACGTCAGCAAGTACTGCCCAGCGAGGAGAAGGGAGAAACGAGGATCATTCGCTTTCTTGAGCCTTGGGCGGGCATCTCTAAGACTAGGAGGGCTGCCCCACACATGCATTAGAAGCAGTGTCTGGGCCATCTCCCTGACCTCACTCGCTGGGCCTCGGAACCCACCCGGGAGCTCAGGATGCTCCTGTCCCTTTCTCTGCTCTCCCTTCCCTCCCGAGAGCTCTTTCCCTCGATAAAATCTTTCTCAACTTCAAAAAAAAAAGAAGTAAAAAGAAGTAGTATCTGGTGGCTGAGAGGCAATTAATCAGACTCCGTTAAGCCAAGAAAAGGGTCCGGGGAAGTAGGTAAGTTTGGGATGGGAATGCATGGGATAGAAAGATAAAAATTTACCTTTTTACAAGAGGTTGAAACAGCCACATGTTTCTCAAGACAATATTAAAAGGGAAGGAAAACTGAAAGAAAAAGCAACAGGTTACCAGAATCACAGAGGGGTCAACATGACAGGGCCACTTTACCCATGGCCTGGGCCTTCCTCGTTCTCGTCCTGCCTTGGGGGGCCCTCAGCATTCAGGATGCAGCTGGGTTCAACTAGCACAGACTCTGTTAGATGGTAAGGGAGGAAGTGCAAATGACAATCCGGCAGCTTCGAGGAAGGGTGGGAAACCCAAAGAGTGCCTGGGTGCACGGCTCACTGTCATCAATGGGTCCCGACTCACAGCAACCCTGTCAGACAGAGTAGAACTGCCCCTGTGAATCTTTATGGGAGTCAAAAGCCTCATCTTTCTCCCGAAGAGGAGCTGCTGGCTTTGAACCGCTGACCCTGTGGTTAGTAATCCAATGCCTAACCCACCATGCCACCAAGTCAATATCATGACCCACGAACGAGCCAGCCCCTCCTCTGGACTCAGACACTAGCTGAGAATGGGTTGGAATGGGCACAGCGGTAGGACACTGCTCTGAGAGTTTGTTCTCTGCCACTCTTTCTTCCTCTTGCACGCCTCACCAGGAGTGTGTGATACTCCATCCCATACCTCATTTGCCAGAAGCTCCAATGATGTCTTCAGGGGCCCATCCCCAAACATGTTAGGCAGTGGTGTCTGCTCTAGTCTGCAAGAGAAACAGGACTCTCCAGACTCAGCCAAAGAAGAGCAGAAAGAAGATAGGAGGAAGTCTCAAGAAGACGGGAACAGTCTCCTATTCTAACCCTATCACTGCCACCAACCCAACCATTGAGAAAGCACCAGCAGGACCACCTGTCTGATGACCCATCTCCTTTTTCTCGGCTCCCTGTGTGTCCACTGCTACTGCACTCCCACTGCGGCAGAATGGCCAGTCTCCTTCAGGAACGCCGCCTTCCTGAATCTGTCATCTATGCCGACTACCTGGGAACAAGCCGTGACCATGATAACAATGGTCAAAAAAATGTTCATTGAATGGGTATTTCTTCCCCCTTTCTGGCAAGATAACAGAGCCCGAGGTGAGCTCTGTTGTTCCTGATCCTGCCGTCTTTACCTTTGTCTCCTTATTGACTTTTATCTTCCTGCTGGGGCAGAGGGAGGATTTCAACAGGCTGATAGTCATTGTCATTGTCGAGCCTAACTGCCTGGAGTTTGGATGACGCTAGCTGTCATATGCACGTGTTGAGAAAGCCTCTTCTGACCCTTGCCCTGGCCTGGCTACGGGTGCCTGTGCCCGACTGTGGTTGCGCTAGACCGCAGGGCCGGGAACTCGCTACAGGAGCTGCTCACCGGCTGACGGCGGCTGCGAGGATGCCGATGCTCGTCTCCTTCGGAGGAGCTGAGGAGTGGCCTGGAGTCATGCTGACTTGCAGCTTGAGGTTGATGCTGCCTTTCTCTGAGACTGAGATCCTGTGGGAAACAGTCCTCTCGACTTCCTTCCGGCCAGGCTCAGCTCACCGGCCCGCGGGGAAGGCTGAGAGCTACAAAATTTACACTAGAGGTGGACGGGAAGCGGGAGCCCAGAACTGGTCAAGGACTGGGGTGAAAGAGGCAGGAGCGGGTGTCCCAGCATGCCATAGAGACACCCCGGGCTGCGGTCAATGTTCCCATGGTGTGAGAACCCCTGCCCAGGTGCCGTGTGACTCACTGGGCGAAGGGCTTCTTGATGCCGGGAATGAAGCCGTCCAAGATGGCGCTTCCCTCGTCCACGATGAAGGCGAGCCACACCCCCCGCGCTTCGAGCAGGGCTGAGATCTTCTGAGCCCCGTTCTTCCCTGACACCTGCAGACACGGATCCCAGACCCAGGGTCCTTCTCAACCCTCACCTTTTGGGCAGGGCCCTAGACCTTCCTTCCTTGTAAATCTGGGGAGGTCGAAGCTGCAAGAGCCCCACCCGCTAATCTCACAGTGGCCCAGAGGCTGCGGTGACGTGAACGTGTGTGGCATCATGGGAAACACAACATGCATCCCCTGTTCACATCTCTTCCTCCCATCATGCCAATGTTTCTCAAGGTGCAGTCGATGGACACCTGTCTCTGAAGAACTTGGGCGGGGTGGGCGGGGTGGTGGTGCTCAGAATCCAGGTCTCCTGCACAGGACCCCGGGGATATGCATTTTGGTGCAAGGTCCTTCAGGTAATTCTGGCACACAGACACACAGAAAGGGTTCGCAACGTGTCTATCACACCAGCTCACAGAGACCCTGCTGCTGGCGAGCCAGCTGGACTTAGGTACTCAGGGGGCTGGAAAGCACAGAGAGCCACTACCTCCTCATCGTGGCCCAGGGCAATGAAGAAAGACCTCTGGGGGATGTAGTTCCTGAGCAGCAGTAGCTCCAGGGCTTGCAGGGTTGCCTGGGGGACAAAGGAGAAAGGCTTGCTGTGTGAAGAGGCATCCCAGGGTCTCAGAGACCTCCAGCAACTGACCGAGACTCTCTTTGAGGGAACCACTGGACTCTCCTTCAAGGGAGCACACTCCAGGGGCCCAGGGGAATCGGCGAAGGGAAGCAAAGGGCTGCACAAGTGCCTTTCCCACGGGAGGGGAGAAGAAAGTGATCCCAATGGACAGGCAGCCTGGGGATCGTCTACTCTCAGCCCCAGGGCACTTCTGAGAAACTGAGGCCCAGGGAAGGGAAGTGACAGACTGACGGGGACAGGGGAGAGGGGGGACCCAGGTCTCTTGGAGTCAAGTGTCTTGTCTTTCTACTACCATCTCCTTGCTTCCCAGGGTCAGCAGAGCCCCCTTCCCTGCCCCCTCCCAAGCCTGGATTGAGTTAGGGTCCCAAGGCGGAAGGGACACGGGGTTTCAGACCATCACAGAATTCTTGTTGTCCAGTGTGCCCCGGCCGTAGATGACGCCATCACGCTCCAGCCCAGAGAACGGGGGCACCTCCCAGCCTTCGGCGGGGGCAGGAACCACATCAAAGTGAGCCAGCAGCATGTAGGGCTCCAGGCTGGGGTCCGAGCCTTGGACAGTGAACAGGTGGCTGTACCCTCCCACGACTTCATGCTGGATAAAGCTGGTGTTGAACACTGTGGGGAAGACTAGAGGCGGAGGGAAATCAGGCAGGGGGAGGAAGATGGGGGGCAGTTGCCCTCGGTTGAGCAGCCATCTGCTGCTCCCCGGCCCCGCCCCACTGCTTTGTGAACAGGCAGCTCCTCTACGGGAAGCTCTGGGAAGCTAATTCCTGTCATTCCTGGACAACTCCTGAAACTCCCCTCCCCCATAGTGTAGCACCGCGCTCTCCCCGTGGAACAAGGCGCACGTCAAGGACCCCCACCCCAAGCAGCCATAATCTCAGGACCTGGCGTGGTCGGCCCTGTAACATAGTGTTTATCACAAGTACAGGCCACCGAGCTAGGCAGAGTAGGTGTGTGCTCAATTTTAAATGTCATAGGCTCCAGTATCCAAATTATATGGAATCAAACATGGCTGTGAGAGATACCTACATATATTCATCTCTCAGAGATTTTTTTCAGGGCTCTTTCAACAAAACAACACTCCTACTGTTTGCATGGTGTGGAGATAAAGATTATTCCCTCTTGCATAAGGCCAGCCTTCTTGTGCACAGGTGTGGGTGTTCCCATGTTCCATCATTAGGTAACTGGTAGGTCCTAACAGGCGGCCTTAGATATGTGCAAGAGAGAACTCTTTCCCACTGGGCTTTGCCGAAGGAATTCACGTACACCTTGTGTGGATAGCTAAAGACAAAACACTGAAGAATACGCATTTATTTTGTCACCCAGCCTATCCAGTTTATTATCAGTATATAATCACTTTTTTTCAAATCTTCAAGTTCCAGCCTGACCTCAATTTGGTCGTGGGAGTGAAGCCCAGACCTGCCTGCCCCCGAGCATGAGAGACGGGTACTCAGACCTTTAGGCTA